CCCAGCTGGCTGGGGCATTCTGGGAGTTGAAGTCCTCCAGGCTTAAAGTTGCCAAGGTTGGAGACCCCTGCTCTACAGAATAGTAGATATATATTTCCTAATTTACGAAATGCTGGAGAAAACTGGGATGTTCTCCCTCACTTAAGAAATGTGTGTGGGGTTTATTTCATGGTCTGATTTAGGAGGCCATAAAAGGCATGGGCCTGGGGGGGAAATGCAAAATTGCAAGGTTACACAGTCTTGGATGAGTTTATTGGCATCTTCACCCTGGAGAAGAAAAGAAGTCTCACCTGTGTAGCTGGCAAAAACCCTGGAATAATTGGAGAACCTGTTTTTGAGTAACCACTGTTGAGTTTCCAAAATGGAGGCACTTGGACTCAGGGTCTGAAAACAGGCAGACAATTTAACAGGCATCTTTAACCAAGTCCACCAAAACAGGTTAGAAGAAACTCTCTGATAACAGATTCTTTGGAAGGGTAGAAGCTCTTGTCTAGACTATTGCTTTTTTTTCAGGGCCAAATTGGATCGCAGAAAATTTATTCTGGAACTGAATTAGCCCTTATGAATCCTGTAGCCATATTTCATGATGTTCATATAATACATTAGAAGCCATCTCGTTCCAAAAACCTCTGACAAATGCAATAATTTTAAATAAATGCTTTCTACACAAAGGTAAGTGTCAGAACTCCAATGCATCTTTTTTAGTCGTTGGCCCTCAAATTAGCCAAGAAGTCATATTCTCTGATTCAAAACCTCTCCTCCTTAATCCAGATGATTATAGTTGATTACTGATTCATGGGGATTAGGAAATTCTTCAGTGCATGCTGGAAATATGCTTTTTTATTATGGTTCATGTATTAAGAGTAAGTGTTGCTGTCACATGAATTGTAGAAAGTGTTTTACTTCAATATCCATTAGGTAGCTAAGTAATTCACATTCTGAGGGATAAAGACCCCTTTCAAATGTTAAACAGTTACTTTGAGTGCAAAAGAACCCATGCTATTTTTTCTAGCTTAAAATACTTCCAAAAGCAATACAAATACTTTCATTTGTGGTCAGCAGCTGTTTCAAACTCAAAATAAGCATTTTCAAATACAGAATAGTTGATATTTGAAGTATTTTGCCCACTGCTAATATCTTGCTCCATTGCTATGGCTCCTGATTACATGGGTAAATATTTAGATTTTCATTTTGTAAACCACATGAAAACTATCAGAATTTTCTTACATTTATTGTAACAGTTTGGAAAAGTTAGAAGTAATGAAAAGGAATTCTCAAAATCTGTGCTTTAAGCAGCTTCATGTACAATAAATTCAGTGCTCTAGGCAAAATATTGGGCAGCCACCACCAACCTACAGATGCATTGAACTACAGCTTCTGACATTCCCAGATAACCCTTACATATGTGGAGTCTATTGTAGTAGGAAAAACTGGCTATGGCAGAAGTGTATAATGTAAATGCCTGGTGTGCTGACCAGGGGTGGGATTCTACAGGTTCGCACCTATTCCCTAGAAGGTTGTTAACATTCTAAGCAGTTTGGAGAACAGGTTGTTAGAAGAAATTACTGGCCTAATCCTGTAAGAAAGGCAGGAAAGAAACATTCCGGTGTTGCTTACAGAAACTGCCTCTCCGTTAACCCTTATTACATTCTTGGCAGGACTAGACTTCCTGTCTCAGGAACTTCTCTGGAGTTTTTTTTCCCCTCCTTTGATGATACTTTGCTTGTGTAGAGTGACCATTCAAAGTTACAATGGCACTGAAAAAAGTGACTTATGACCCTTTTTCACACAACTGTTGCAGCATCCCCACAGTCATGAGAGGCCAGGCGAGGAGATGCGTGCCTCGATGTGAGTGATATTGAGTTGGCCATGCCCAGCCATTAATATGACCACCAAGCCACGCCTACCAACTAAGCCATGCCCACAGAACTGGTTGTTAAAAGATTTGAATAACACCCCTGGTGCTGACGTGAAATTCTGGGTATAACTTACAATTAGGCTAGGCTTAATGATGTTGGCAATTGTGATTCAGCACATCTGGAGCAATAACCCTGGAGCAATAAGCCATCGGGAGCACCAAGTGTTACCCATTCACAATTTAAGACAATATATTGTAGGTAGTGGATGAGGTATCCTATGAGTTTGTTCCTCTTCCCAATAAATGAATGTTGGGAATAGCAACACCATTTAGCTTAACATTTTAATTAAAATGTTGATTAGCCAAACATCAATTAGCTGCAAACTTTGGGTATTTTGGATGTTCTTTCATAAACTAAATTTCATCCATTTTAAAAAATTAACTGGGAACAAAATGTTACCACCTGGGGGCACCCTTACATTGTGTTTATTTGAGTGCAAAGTAAACACAGGCAAAAGTTTTATTCAAACTTTTGACAATCCCAGCTGACATCACCTATTAGTAGATTGTGTGGCTTCATCAGTCTAGTGTCTTTGTAAAGACAGTCATTTCTGCTGATCATTTTAGTCTACTGCTGGTAATTTGCAATATTCTGCGCTAAAGCAGGGAAGGCAGGATAATTAGCAAGGTCATCAATGATCAAGTCATCTCATAGTTAACTAGTAGAATGGTTCACAAAATGCAATTTCTCTGAAAGCATTTGCTTTAGTTTACTGAAGAACAGGATCTAGACAAATTCAAAATACCAAAAGATCCACCTGGATTTTATTTAAACTTCATTTATTATATTTTAATAAATGAATAGTTTATTCATGAATAGTTCCACCTGCCTACATATACTATTCGTTACCTCTGCCGTGCTCTCTGATGAGCTGTCCAAGGCATAACTGGGTGAGGAGCAGACCCTGCCAAAAAGAGCAACAAAGACAGTTTATCTTACAGATATCCCAAGACCAAACTAGAGAAGGAATGCCGTTACAGATGGCTCGGCATAGTGTACCTTTCAGGGGTCTGAAGTTTGAAGGGATGTGGAGAGACAAGACCAGGCGTTGGTGGAGGACTGCTGATATTGCTGGAAACTTCAGGCCAAGGGGCACACTAAGGGAAAGCATAGGAAGAAATAGATGGGAGAAAAGAAATGTTAGATCCCGGAATTTGCACTCTGCAATTGCCGAATTTAAAGCAAGTTTATCATTTTGAAATTAAGCAGGATATTGTGGGAGAAGTCATGGCAGGTTGGCGTGTTGGAATTGACTATCCCAAGTGACATTTTACTGCATGCTTCATTAGCAAAGGTATGAATGCATCAGATTTTTTTTTGTATAATCCCAGCTATTATAGTCTGCATAGTGTGTAAACTAATGGTTTAGTGAAATATGTGAATTCAGCCATTGTAGCTTATTCAACAAATCATTGTTAAAAATAAACCAAGGTGTGTGTGTGTGTGTGTGTTTTTGTGTGTGTGTGTGTGTGTGTGTGATCATCATTTTAGCCATTGTGTATCCATTGCAGGATGAAGGCCTCTTCCGCATGTTTCCAACCTATAAAGTCCTGAGCTTTCTTTTGCCAATAGGGCCAGCAATACTTGCTGATGTCGTCAAACCATCTTGTTTTAGGAAATAAACATAGATAATGTTGTGAAATGTTATTTTTGCCTTTTATTTCAACCCCATAAATTCTAGATTCTAGGATTCTTCTTATCCTTGGACTGACTTCTTATGCTGCTAATGAAAGTAAATTTTTAAATCACACAGAGCTCTTTAGCAAGACATCAGAAAAGGATGCGAGAAGAAGCACAAGTACCTCTGTCAATATTGTGCTGTCATATGAAGGCTGGTACTTCTCCCGCTCCTGGAGGGACTGTTTTTCAATCTTCTCCCTATCTGTTTTCTGTTTCCGGTCTGCTCCTTTGGGCTGGGGAAAAAACAGCCTCACTTAAAATATAGCAGATATTCAGCAACACGTGCCTCATGTCAACTAATCATGCATCTCATGATACTTCTCTGCATATAATAATGTATGTTGGATAACTAGTAATGGAACATATGACCAACCTCTGTTGATGGTTTTATCTTCCAGACAATCTGACATTCTTCCTGCTCCTTAGATCCTTAATGTTCACATAGGAACAATATTGCCCCAGACTGTTACCACCCAACAAAAATGCATATGGATCAGCTTTTAACTCAGCTCTCATTCCATTTCCAAACAGAGAAGCCTGCTTGGCAGCAGTGCTGGCTGAAGAATACGTGGTGCCCTTAGGCCAATGTGAAGATTTCCATTTTTAGAATGATTTGGAAGGAGGGATGACATTGGCATCCCCTAAGGCAGGGGTCCCCAACCACCAGTCCCTGGACCGGTACTGGTCCGTGGAACAATTTCTACCAGGCCGCCGGTTTGCTGGGCGCCGCCATCTTGTTTTGATGAAAAAGTGCTTCCGGTGAGCTTTTCCGGGTAGAAAGCGGCATTTGGGTGCTGAAAGAATCCTCGCGCCTTAGTTTCATCGAGGGGGGGGGGCGGCTTCGAACAAAACTAAGGTACGAGGATTCTTTCAGCACGCATGGCAAGGCGAGCCGAGCGACCGTCGCGAAGCCGTTGTGAAGCCGTCACGAAGCCCATCGACAGGTACAAAGGAGGAGTTGAAGGTGGCGGGGAGAAGCGGGGGATGGCTGGCTGGCTGCTCGGCTCACCTTGCCATGCGTGCTGATGCCGGTACCGGGCCGCGGATGATTTTGTGATGCCGGTACCGGGCCGCGGCACAAAAAAGGTTGGGGGCCACTGCCCTAAGGTTTAACACCCTCCACTTTAACTTGGCAATGATTCTTTAACTCTGTCCTGCTTTCATTATACTGTATCCAGGGCAGGGAATAGGAATTGTAGTATTCTTGTAGTAGGAATCTTTACTTTCAACCACCGTGTTTGCTCCTAGTGAGTCAGGCAACATTACCTTGAAGACTTTGATGAGACAGCTGGCGGAGTGCAAGTGTTCCATGTGCTCACCCTTCTCATTGGGCTTGAAGGTGTCAACTTGGATGCGAAAGGGGACCCCTTTTTCCCCACCATTCTTACGAAGTGTGAACTCAGTACTAATGCAGTGGACCTGTTTCAAAGAAGGAAAGAGGAAACAGACAACCCTCTCAATTGGGAAAAATGCTGCTGGATCAGACCATAAGCATATCTAGCCAGCAGATGGTCCCCAAGTGGCCAGTGAAGGACCTGGGCACCACGCTTTCCTTCACACACCATCGGTTCCCCATAATTAATGTGGAGGGGCAATTAACTTTCTGGAGGTAATACACAATCACCAACTAATCAATTTTCTGCAGCCTTGAAATTCATAACTTGTGAAATTTCCTGTGATCAGCTGGAATGAGAATACCGATGGCTTGTTGTAGCTGATATTGTTGATCTTCACTGGCAATCTACACAGTTTTGGGGTAGAACATTTTTTTAATGTATCACCCTGGTTCCTTTTGTGTGGAAAGCAGATACTTTGATATTGATCTACAGCCTTTTTTTTCGAAGCCAATTTTGCATCCCCTGTACATAAAAGCTGGGGTTATATAAATCAATTCCTGCAATTTGAAGGTCGTTGTTTAGGAAGCAAAAACATCATTTGAACACAAGGGAGTGAAATTAGCAGGTAGGGTAGTCACAGGGTTGTCTGAATATAATAAAAATTGTGAGGGGATAATTGGTGGAGGACCCCCTAATATAATCTACTGCTCATTGACCATGAAATGTTCACTAACTTAGTTAGAACAAAGAAGAATTGATGGCTGAAATCCCAAATGAGGAACAATCCATGCTGAGCCATTTTGTTGCAGATTCCCCCTCCTCCATCTTTTTCATACGTATTCTACAAATTTCTATCATCATACCAGATATTATAATAAAATGATTTGGGCTTGTTGTGTAAAGTAGTGACAATTTCAGAATTGTGCAGGAAACAAAACTGGGAAGAGCCGAACCACAATATTGGTGTGGTCCTGTGGGAAACCTGCTTTTTTCTTATTTTTTTAATAAGATTTTTATATTACCTTTATTTTATAAGTAACTCAAGGCAGTGAACAAAATAATATTCCTTCTTCCTCCTAGTTTCTCCACAACAACAATCCTGTGACATGAATTCAGCTGTCCCATTCCTCACCCAGCCAGCTTTCATGCCTATGGTGGGACTAGAACTTATTCCCCTAGTTTCTGGACCAGCACTTTAACCACTACATCAAACTGGATCTTTTTTTCCCCTGATTATTGGTGTGGAGGGGGGAGGGGCCTTTCATTGTTTTTAAGCCTGTTATAAAATTTGCACTACTGTTTTCATAAAAGTAAATGAAAGGGCAAAGGGATAAAGACAAACCAACTGACCAGCAGGTTGCTACCCACCTGCACAAAGACTGAAGTGCGCTTAGTTGGGTCCCACAGGAATTCCACAGTATTGAGCAAAGTGGAGGGCATGTGGGGCTCCAGAATGCCCACAGACATGGGGATATCTACAACAGGCCAGAAAAAGGAAAAACCTATCAGAACCATAAAAAGGGAGCGAAGGATCTGGGGGGCAGGGCAGGGAGAGGAAGCTGCATGGAATTAACCATGGAAATCCCACTTCGATCAAGGGTGTTTCCCATACTTTTCTGCCCCACACCAAATTGCTTCTCAACTTTTTCATGGGGATGGTTGGCTTGACAATCCTGCAGTTCCCTTTCCAATGAAGGAAGGGGGGGAGGGTCTTGCAGGGTCAATAAAAATCAACAGGATGGTCACCGCTCTACCCTGAAGACTTTGCCTCTTGTAAACAAAAAATGCATTAATGATCATATTTTCTTGAAAAAAATAAAGGACAAGCCTGAAGAAAGAGCAAATCTGAAAGAGGATCATAACCATGTTATGTTTAAAATTTTTGTTTTACAAATAAAGCTTCAAGTGCAAAACCAAGACAATAAATGAAACTCAAGGACAGATTTCTATGTCTTGACTTTTTTGACTCACTAAAGGGTGCCTAAGTGCTTATAAGGGCAGCAAGTGTGTGTTTTTAATTACAATGCTCCTATTGTGTGGTGTAATGGATGCAGGGGGTGGCAAGTATAGATTAAAGTAGAAAGGTTCGGCCAGCCAAGCACAGACTAGGCATGAAAATGGGGAAAGACAAAATATTAGATGGTGGTGAAACAGCAGATAAGCCAAGAATTGTGTCCCAAAAGCTTGTAATGGGAGTGTGGTAGAGATTCACTTAACAACACTGGTAAAAAAAGGATGTAAAACTGGGCATGATCTACTTAACATCCACGTCACTTAGCAATGAAAATTCTGGTAGCAATTGCAATCATAAATCAAGTGTTATCTGTACAGCAGAGCTGAAATGGTCAATCCGTTTCTCTCTGTTCAGAGCAGGCATTCTCACAATTACAATATCTTTGGAAGATTCTTATGAAAGCACATTCCAAGTTAGAGATTTAGGTAGATAATACCACTTCTTCCCCCTTTGAAAATACACCTTACCGATATCCAGGATGCGGTCACCTGGCCTGTTCCATCTCCATCCCTCTAATTGCTGGTGTTCCGTGTACTGCAGTCTTCGGTCATGGAAGACTACCCTGATTACACTCTGATCAAGAAAGGGGGAGGGGAGGGAGAGGGAGTGGGAGGGAGAGAGCCAACATTTTTAAAATCCATTTGTACCACCAGAGTGTTGCATTGAGTCATAGACAACTGGTCCTTCTTTAGGCTGCACATAGGAGAAGTACTGTGAGATTGCTTTAATTAGATTTAATGGTTGCACCACTCATCACACACCAAAGAGATTTTGGGGTGGTGGGAATGAATTTTTGGACTCTGCGATTTTTGCCTCAAAGACACTGAATTGGTTGAGCTATACAAAGTTCTCTTCTGATTAATTTTCAGTCCACTATCTATTGAAGAAGATTTCCTTCAGACAAACTCTGCAAGCAAATCATGATAGGAGTACTCAAGATCTGAGAGTTCCTGAAGAAAACAATTGTTTCTCTGGGAAATCATGATTAATTATGGGTTCTACCCATAAGGCACTGAATTGGATCTTTTAGAAAAATAGTAATATGTTGCGTGAATGAGTTCCATAGTTTGTTATAAGATGAAGCTTCATGAGGACTCAATTTTAAAAAATGCCAATCAATTCTCCTATCCTGTGCTTTACCTTCAGCAGCTTCCGTCCCTCAGCAAATTCACCTATTTTGGGATTACACAGCATCCGGATTTCATATGATTGCCCTGGAAAATAATAATACAGCATGTGGAATGTGAGATTGGCCAAATATGCCAAACATTGTCCCAAAATCCAAAATATCATCTTTTAATGTTCCATGTTTGTTCTCTAATACATTTTCAAATGCTTGTTATTTAAAAATACAAAAGCTATTAAAAACATTACAGCTGAATATTAGTTTATAATTTTTTCTTCCTTTTATTATGACTGATCCTTAGATATATTTTAAAATGTTGGGTGTGTTTTGAAGTGGAGGCAGTCTTAAGGGTTGAGCTCTTACATCACAGGTGTCAAATTCAATCATGTCACTTGATGTGACCTATTGTGAATTTTTTTGCCCTTGCAGAGCCAGGGTGGGCATGGCCCACATGTGACCAATCCAGGCCACAGGCCGCCAGTTTGACAGGTCTGTAAAATGGTGCTAATCTATGATTTGCTTAACCATACTTGAAAAACCCACGATTGTGCTAAGACATAAATTCACCAAGCATGATAGCATAGTTCATATCACATATAAGCAAAAATATTCCAGTTATTTTACTGTTAATCTTACATTTAAATTGATCTTAGTCTTAATCCAAACAATAACAACCCATAACCGCACTTCCACAGACCATCTATAATTTTGCTTTTAAAATGATCTGCTCTACCTTGCTTGTATAAGTGTTTCTCAATGTAAGCAACTGTCTGGATTTCAAAGTCAGTAGGGAATTCTGGATATTGAAATTCACACAGCTTAAAATTGCTCAGGTTGAGAAATACTGAATTATATGAATAAATATATTCACAGCAAGCAACAAAATTTTAAACATCCATTTGTGAAAACAATCTCTATTTCAGTAGAATTTATTTCTATATGTCTAAATTCAGTTGCTAAAACACAACTTGCATTCTTGTACCAATGCTATGCTGTGTTAGTGTTAAGGCAGCCAAAAAGAAGTAACCCATTGTGGAGACCCAACCCAGGTGGCTAGTTTTTGGTAAAATATATTGTGCAAGCCTTGACAATGAGTTAATTCAGTAATCAGATTAAGCATATTGTGTAAACACAGTATATAGTTCTAACAAAAGATCTTCTGCTGGATAAAATGCAACCTTTAGCTTTTAATTAGAAAGGCAATCAATCTTGCAATGTGTTAGGATTTAAATAGTTGAAAGCCTTATTGTTACCTGGTTCAGCTGTCAGTTCGTGGAAGGTCTGTAATTTACCTTTCTTTTCCAACAGTAGAGGCTTTGGGTGGTGTGTGTGTGTGTGTGTGTGTGTGTGTGTGTAGTCATTTTTGTGTCACAATGTTATATAGGCAGTGGAATATTGTCTGTACTGTGTTATGTTTACCACTAGGGGGAAGTTTTTAAGTAGAATTTGGTCACTTTTCTTCTCTCTCCTGCACCACCTCCTTTGATGTATAAAATCTTACCTTGGTTGAGATAGGTGAGAGTTTCCTCATGTTGTTTGACAGCTGGAGAGGTAACAGCACACAGAATATACTGTAAAGATGGGCAATGCTGCTCAGCTGATGTTGAAATGTTTGGTTCTTCCTGCTTTAGGAAGGGCAGTGCCAGTGGCTCTCTGCAGTAGCGAAAGAGATAAGAGATAAAAGGATGTCACTTTGGTGTAGTGGTTAATCCATCAGACTACAATTGGGAAACAGTTGGATTGTAATCTTGTCTTAGGCACAAAGCCAACTGGAGGTCAGTCACTCCATCTCAGCTCTAGGAAAGCAAGCAATGGCAAAAAATTCCAAAATTTTACCAACAAAAACTTCAGGAAGTAGAATTTACCAAGAGGCTATTTTGTGTGTGAGAGAGAGGGGGGGGGGGATAGATTTTTTTGAAGTAAAGTTCTAAATCATAATATGTTCAGAAGCCACAAAATTACTGCCAAAATATACTGTTCAATTTGTGTAGCTACCCATCTCACTTGTGATTCTGGATAGTTCATATCATTAAACGACTATAAAACAATAAACATTACAAAACACAATAAGTAACACCATTAAAAGTAAAAAAAGATAATCAGCAGGAAGTTATACGTCATATGTCAATCAACACAACCATCTTACAGACTTCACATCACCACGGTCTTCCCAACTATGATGACACAACACCATGTCTTCAAAACCTTTTAAAAGGCAAGTGATTTTTGTAAGATCTTGCTGTAAATACCTATGTAGTAACTAAAAGGCAGGACGATGAAAGGAAGAGTTACAAAATGCACTTTCTCTAAGATTATTTGTTATTTTTGCATCTTTTTTTTTCTTTTTCCTTTTGCAAATAAGCACGAGGTAGTGGATCACTGCAGCTTTCTAATTCTTGGTTGCTTCGTGTTAACAATCTTCCCTTCTGAATCCTGCACTGGTTGTAAATTCCTCAGCAGGGCACATGCTCAGAAACACTTAATTTTTAGCACATCACAAATGCCAGGGTCTTTATTTAGCATCTACTTTGGATCAGCAGATCTTACAGTTTTAGTAAAAGCCAGGGAAAATTTTTCAAGTATACCTGTAATACTATGCAATGATAATGCACTTACTAACCATTATTTGAATGCTGAGTCTCCATTGGTTTGTTTACTTTAAAATTAGTTCTCTTTCGCATTCTGTTCTGCATTGATATTGTTAGTATCAATTTTACAAGTGCATGCTGTTTGATGTAAAATATATAATTAGTCTTTATCACAAAATATACCAGTATTAGTTATTAGTAGCAAGCACCAATTTTGAAGGGTAGGAGTAAAAAGAGAAAATTCTCTTTCCCTGTTCCCACAGGTGTTATATAGAAGTCCAGTTTTCCATTTCATATAAAAAGGCTGCATCATAAAAAGGCTATTGTAAATGTTGCTAGCCAAATTACTAATAATAGGGTGGCCTTGGGCCAATGGATGACTATCTACTTAATGTATTTCACAGAAACATTTCATGCTTTCTGGAATTGATTTCTGACCTTCAGCTTTCAAAGTGAAATGGTTCTTTAATATATACAAATGTTTTGGTGCATGGCCACAATTCTGGACTTCAAATGGCACCTCTTCCTCTTGAGATGCCATTAAAGTGAGCTAGTGAAAGAAGGTTTGGCTACAGAAGCTGGAGGTCTTATAAGGGAGAAGAGTAGTTGTAATGAGCGAGAGTGTCAAAATTAAAACAGCTGCAAGGGCTTGTGCATGATTAATATTTGTGTAGAAGAGGATACTTTAATACTTAGGCCCTATTTTTCACAACAAAACAGCCCTTCAATGCAATCCAAAACAGATAAGGGGAGAAAAAGAGGGGATGAAATAGCAATTCCAGAGAACAGGGGTTCTCTGCATAATAGGAATGATGGCAGTCAGGGAATTCGAATGGAATTAAGAAAAATCTTCCTATTAGCCTCCGAGCAACATCCAGCTCCTGCTGGATGTTGAATATGGTTTTCTCAAGCAGCAGCAGAGCATAGATGGGCCCCACATCCCCTGCTATGCCATTCTTAAGCTACCTACCTGTCCCCAAAAGTTAAAAGCGAACATGGTCGAAACAAGATCTGTCACTCATGTCAGTTTATACCAGAGAAATGGACAAGATGTGCTGCTGTTGTTTTTTTTCTTGATCTGGCTCTGATACCAACACTGCATTCCCTTCACTTAACCACATAATGGGGAAAACAGTGATGGTCAGGTCTAAGTGGCTTTACATTTAGAAGAGACCAACTTATGGATGGGAAATCTTTTTATCCAGGATAGCACCATGCAAATCCTATGTGAGTAGAAGGACAGCTCTGCCTAGGAGGTACTGGGAAGAGGAAGGGAGCAAAACATTGCAAAGTCTTCACCTTCTCTGATAGTCTGCCTGATAGGCGGTGAGCTTTCCAGGCATTCTCTTGAAATAAACAAAAATCTGGAAATTGAATCAATACAACTATTTCATATATTCCCAATCATGAACAAGTTAATTTACTTGCATGCTTCCCCCCCCCCCCTACTTCTTCTTACCGATCTCGGCTGTTGGCATAGCTGGAAAGAGAGGGGTGAAAAAAAGGAGTTGCTCACCTTATGAGATTGTTGCCAGGACAAGAATACATTTCTCCCGGACTTGGCCAGTAATGATCAGGTTGGCTATGCCAAAAAAGCATGACTGATGGATTTCCAAAGGTAGACTAGAGAAGTGGCAGGAACTCAGGGAAGGGGAGAGAGAAGTCAAGTCCCAGCTCTTCAGCAGTTACTTGGTGCTCTGGAGTGTCATTTCTTTTTTCTTTTTATGCACCTGCCGGCCAAGTAGGTGTGGTCAAAGAAAGGTGTTGTCTGATTGGCTGAGGTGCTATGGAGAACAAGTCTTTTTTTTTTTTTTACACTATTTCCTCTCTGGTAGACCAAAGCTGCATAATTTTGACCATTAAATGACTTTTAGTCATTGCCAAGAGCCAAAATATATTTTCTTGCCTCTGCAGAGTCATAAGGAAGGTATGAGATTTGTGGGGAGGAGGGAAGGAGGAAAGAAAAGCAAATAAATGTCAGGAAGGTAAGGACAGTCAGTGCTTCCAACAGTAGGTATAGATTCACCAAATGTGAATCCTTAACTTTTAGCTACACATTCTGAAAAAAATCCCTATTAAGTGAAATAAAAAGGTGTGGGATTTTTTAAAACCTTCTTGTAAATAAAGAAAGAATGCAAAATACTTTTTTTAAAAACACTAGATCAATATTTCTTCACCTTGCGATTTTAAAATATAGGGACTTCAACAGCCATCTGGCTGGAGTATTCTAGAATTGAAGTCTACATATCTTAAAGTTGAGAAGCATTATATACTACATCATCATTATCATTAGTGCTACAGCAAACTGAATGACAGAGGAAACATGAATTGGAATGTGTTTACCTATTAAGTGTTTTATTTTTTCAGGTGCAGTTCAGTTAGAAAAGCCAAGGCGACAGCAGAACATAAAAAAAAACAAGCCATTGTTCAGATGGGTTGTCTCGATAGGATGATTCTGGAATCCTTGCATCTTCCAGTCCACACACACACACATTCCAAAACTTTGTTTGTTTCAAATGTTTTTACTTTGCAGTTTAGCAGGAAAGGCTTTCAGGAGAACTTCCAATGTATCACTATTAAGACAGGCCCAAGCCTGCCCAGTTCGCAAGGAGCTGCAAAGGAAAGGGTAGCGTTGCTAGTTGCTAGCAGAGCAGTGGAAAAAATCCACAGGGTAACTATCTATCAACCACACTGAAGATATAATCTCATTTCTCTTCCTCTCTACAGCCTTATGGCAGAAATACCAGCTTTGGGGATAAAATATGAAGAGGCACCATGATCTTTTATCTTTCTCTCATTTAAAAAAAAAGCAAAGTTGCTTGCCAGAATATGGGTGAATCATTTTGAATATGTGTAGAATGCTTTTCCTTGAGTATTGAATTATCAATCAGCTTATCTGCACCTCAGAGAATTTCCAGGCAAATAACTGGTCTTTCTGGCTAACATGGACTCTTGAACTTCTTGGTCTGGGCAGGAGGGGTTGTTCAATAGAAACTTCAAAAAGGCAACCAAATCATGCCTTTTCCAATGTTGTGTCAACTTTAATGGTACCAACAACGAGGCTAGGCAGTAAAGCAGGGTAATTTACAAAGGCTGCTGACTCCTGGGACAGGGAACAAGTCTCACTTCAAAGATATCCCTAAGTAGACCCAATATTTCTTCCCTGTATGTAAATGGTGCAACCCTTTTTGAGCATTTATTTATAAGGTCGTTTTAAAAAAAATCTGCCTCCAATAAACAATTACCTGATCAGTTGACAAAACACAACACAGTGAAAATACAAAACAAAATGACAACATTGTAAAACAGGAGAGAGGATTCTGGCAGGAAGAATACATACTGTATATTGAAATCATTGCCAATTTTAAAACGAATATGCATTGGCAAATATACTATATTAGAAACCAGGTGAGCCTTCCTTGGAAGAAAAACCCACTAATAAGTAAGAAAATGTATTCATAGTCATAGGCCACTTGTTTGTTATGTATTACATACAAGTAAAAAGAAAAACAATGGAGAAAGATGAAAAAACACTAAAGTTATTCAAACAGTACAGTAAATTAATTATGCCATTCTGTGAAGTACAAAGACATACATTATTTATTTATTTCTATTGCATCTCAGTATAAAGCTGTGTCAAAGCGATTGGTTTTCACAACTTTCACACACACCATTGCAATATTGCATGGAGAGAGTAAGCAGTGGGGTCCCACAAGGTTCCATCTTAGGCCCAGATTCTTCATAAATGATTTCGATGAGGGAATAGAAGGGGAATTTATCAAATTTGCAGATGATACTAAGCTGGCAGAAATAGCCAACACCCTAGATGATAGGCTCAAGTTCCAGATGGATCTTTACACACTTGAATACTGGGCCCTAGTTAACAAAATGAAATTCAATGTAGAGAAAAGTAATCTCACACTGAGGTAAGAAAAACGAAAAGTACACATATAGATTGGGAGAAACCAGCAGTAACTATAAGAGGGATCTAGGAGTCTTTGTGGATAACCAGCTAAATATGAGCCAACAGTGTGCAGTGGCAGTCAAAAAAACCAATGCAATTCTAAATTCCATTAACATTATGCTAAGTTGCAAGATCACATGAGGTACTAATGTCACTCTGGTCTATATAAAGCCTTAGTAAGACCACACCTAGAATACGGCCTCCAGTTTTGGTCACCACACAATAAAAAAGATGTTGAGACTCTAGAAAAAGTGCAGAGAAAAGTAAGCAGAATGATTAGGGGACTGGAGACTAAGGCATATGAAGAATGGTTATAGGAACTGCGCATGGCTAGTCTAGTGAAGAGAAGGACCAGGGGAGACTTGATAGCGGTCTTCCAATATTTTGAGGGTCTGCCACAGAGAGTAAGGGATCAAGCTATTTTCTAAAGCACCTATAGGCCAGACAAGGAATAATGGATGGAAACTGAGCAAGGAGAGATTTAACTTGGAAATAAGGAGAAACTTTCTGACAGTGAGAACAATCAACCAATGGAACAGCTTGCCCTTGGAAGTTATGGGAGCTTCATCACTTGAGACTTTCAAGAAGAGATTGGACTGCCATTTGTCAGAAATGGTGTAGGGTCTCCAGCTGGGGGGTGGTTGGACTAGATGACCTACAAGGTTTCTTCCAACTCTGTTATTCTGTTCTGTTCTATATCCTCATGGTTACATGGTCAAAATTTGAGCACTTGGCAACTGGCATTTATAAACTGCATAAAGTGCAATTTATGATAGCTAGATTGTCCTGGGGTCATGTGATCTCCATTTGTAAACCTTCCCAGCTGGCCTCTGACAAGCAAAGTCAATGGGGGAAGCCAGATGCATTTAATGACCATATGATTCACTTAGTAACTATGGCAAAAAGATCATAAAATGCAGCAAAACTCACTTAACTGCCTTGCTTAGCAATAGAAATTTTGGGCTTAAGTATGGTTGTAAATCAAGAACTTAGCCACTCCTTCCTATTTTAAGACATGATTCGGGAAGTATGTTTTCCAATATGATTTACTAGGACAGTTAGATAGCAAAGATATTATTAAATTAATGCACCAGACCAGACAAAATGGGCACACAATTATGATGCAAATGGCTTGGAAAACAGGGAAAGTTGAGCTGGGAACTGATTGTACATTCCTTTGATAAAATAGAGGATAAACATGCCTCACCATACTACCGCTATGACTCAGTGCACTTGTGTCAAATGGCATTTGTCTGTTGACGTCACCAGACACATGACTTCATCGCTTTGACTTCATCATGCTTTGCTGTGGATTCTGCTGTGCTTCAGCAATTGCTAAAGAGAAAGATCTCCAATGTGGAGTCAGTGAGCCAAGTCCTTTTGCCCTTTACTTATTTAAAAAGAAGGAAAACAGTAGGGAAAATAAAGGGTGGGGAGAAGCAACAGCAATAACAAAAAGTGTTGTGTGAGTATGAGTATATAAAGGCTTTTTACATGTGTATACATACATGTAAAGTTTTGTACAGAAGTTACAGTAGATGAGCATATTTCATTGTTAAATCATCCACATGATCTTTAAGCAATTCATTAATAAATATTCATAAATTGCAAATAATAGTAGATGTTTATTGGGGCCATACAGTTCTCTTTCCAATGTTGAACACATTTTTAGCAGTAGAAAGGGCATATAAAATCTATTTCCATTGCCTAGCCATCAATAAATTTTTAGTTTGTTGAATTAATATATATATATAGTGACAATTTATCTTTTCTGCCTTCTGCACAGCTTCCCGACACCCTTTGACACCGTGGAAGCAAGAGTACCATTCCAATCCTAAAAGGCCGCCAGAAGCGATCACCAGACTTTCACCTTTGCCACCAAGAGTACCTGTACACCCTAAAAGGCCGCCAGAGGTGACCAGCAGACTTGCACCAAGAGGCCGAACTTGAAGATTGAACCTCAAGCTTTGCATGCTTTGCTTTGTTTGATGCTTTATTAATGTTTACTGTTTTTCTTAGTTATATAGTTATCTGCTATTCGTAGTATTACTGTTTACTCATTATCTTAGTTTATAGTTATTTTTTTTCTCTTCTTTTAATAGTGGAATTTACAATTCCAGGCGGGGAGTGTGCTGTCCCAGCCAGTCTATGGGAATTGGATAGTTACTTAGGAATTATGAGCTGTCCCCTTAAGGGAAGGCATCATGTTAAATAGAGTTAAAGGTATCCTGGGAAATGTAGTTCATGTCACGTGGTCACATCCGTAATCCTGATTGGTCACTAATTTGACCCTCGATGGGTTGGGGGAGTTTCCCTCACTTTTGCCTGAACTCCCTAACTCATAGAAGCTGCTTTCTATCGCTACGAGATGGGTTAGGAGATAACCATCTTTTACTTTTCTGCCTTCTGCACAGAGGTGGATTCGAAATTGTACAGATGCAGATAGATAACTCAACAAGACATCCATAACAAATTACATTTATTGGTTCATCAGGTATCCTCATAACTCATGTTTGTGATGAAGTTCTTCTTTAATGACCAATCCTTTGTATATCTGCCTTGTAGTAAAAGATGGTTATCTCCTAACCCATCTGGTAGCGATAGAAAGCAGCTCCCATGAGTTAGGGAGCTCAGGCAAATGTGAGGGAAACTCCCCCAACCCATCGAGGGTCAAATTAGTGACCAATCGGGATTACAG